ACACACACACACACACACACACGCACGCACACACACACTTGGCGCTCATATGACCTTATGAAGTTGCGAGTGCCGTAAAACCTCTACTAAATAAATAAACAAAACACACTTCTTTTCACTCCTATAAATTGTAATAATAGATCTTTAAAAAAGCAAACAGTCTGAGAATAATCAACTGAAACACAAAAACTCAAGAGTATAAAGATGCAATAGTATACCAACCTTCAGTTCATAACAGTAAACTTGTTTTTAATGCGCGCTCATATGACCTTATATAAATGCAAATGCAAGCGCCGTAAAACTCTTACTAAAACAAACAAAAACTTGTTTTTATTCCACGAAACACGAATTAAAAAAAAAAAAAACACTTCTATGTCACACCCAAAGATAACCCTGATGGGGCAGATACTGTTGCATTTATGGTGATAAAAATAAGATTATAAATTCACAACTAGAAAAAAACTCACTCAGCTCCAATGTGGTAAAATACAAAACTAGACACCAGATGCCAGAAGCAGGCGGCAGAAATCAAATGATCATAAAACTGAAACTATTCAATTTACCCCACCACAAAATGAAATAGACAGACCCAATAACTAGGCCTGGCTGCTACATTTATTAATGAAAGAAATTATTTACAATACAGAAAGAAGAACGCAGTAAATCAAATGTCCCACCACACACAGCTGTGCAGCTGACACCAACACATTGTGTCTGTCAGTTCTGGTTTTACGTTTATCTACCCAGGTATACAGACAAGATTAATTCACTCTCCATCATTTCCATTGAGAAAAAAAAAAAAGAGGTAAAAAGCCAGTTATCAAAACTAATCAGATAATATTCAGCATTTATCACAAAACTACTGCCAGGCAAACTTAGTTTTCTAGGTCTTTATTTGAACTTTGAAAGGTGAAAGGAAAGGGCCAAGTACAAAATTAATTACAGATAAAAGATTAAGAGCAAAACAATGCCAGAGATCACACGCAATCAAAAGATAACCACCCATTGTCGAGGAGAAAAGTAGTCATCTTACAAAGGTGGTCTTCTTGGACAGTGTCATTACAATAGTAACAACCCCCCCCCCCCCCCCCCAACTAGAGCTAAGTGGAAATTAGGGTTTAAGTTAAAAGTTTAACGGAACTTGCAACACGATTAGGTCATTTATAATTGCTGAAGATAGTACGTGTTACAAGAGAGTAACATACTTGCATATAATAAAAGAAGGAGGGGAGATAAGGACAATAGATCTTTGATAGAAAAGAAAGAGCTATAAATATAAACCACATCAAGGCACCCACCAACCATCCATGAAGTGGTCTTTTGTACAGGTGAAAGGCTTAAATAGTTGTAATAATATCTAATAATAATAAAATAATAATAATAATAATAGTACCGATAAAACATTACATACTGCACCTCCATGGGAAAGTGCTCAATGTGCTCTACAGTGCAAAGAATCTCTCTCTCTCTCTCTCTCTCTCTCTTTTGGACAGGTGGTCATTAAAGCTGGTTTGAGTAAATAAAACTATATTGGCACAAAAAAGGAATTTCACTACAGGAAAAAGTAAGTAAGACAGAATCAACAGAGGGAACGTAAAGACATGGGACCTACCAGTGGCGCCTTCCAACCACACTACCCGCTCAAAGTACAAGGAAGAAGTTTTAGCTCTCCGCCACGTTTCTACAGGGGAGGAGACCGATCGCCCGATAGAAATGAAAATTTTGTTGACGCACACACACCCCCACACCCACACACACACACCCACCTGAAAAAAAAAAAAAGACAAGCTACAACTCCCTGGAGAGCAAGGTAAGGTCCTTATTAATCTTTTAGGCACCTTTTAAAAAAATGCCATTTGTGAAGGCAAGGTTTTACCCTCGCTGGTTTCCAGAGATCAGTTTCCCAATGACGGGAAAGTTCAAACATTTGCATTTTTGACAGTTTGCCTTAAACATAATAAATGTAACATGCCGAGCATTGTTTTACTTTTTTTTGTACATTACAACCTCGTCACTATCATGATGACATAGCATTGCATGCACAAGAGACCTTGGGGAAAATCATCATTATCTGAAACAAGGTTTTAACAACATCCAACTCATACCAAAAGGATGAAACCTGATTGAAACACCAGAATATCACTCAGTTATCAATCATGACAGAACGACTGCACATTTGTTAGACTGGGAGAGAGAAAGGGGTAAAAAAAAAAATCTACTCTTTAATCGAAGTACGTGATTTAAAGAAAGATTGATGGAAGAATAAATCAACGAGCAGTTCAGGGTAGAAAGGGCAACTTTAACTTAATAAAATGTGGTGTAGTCTGTTCAGGGGCAGGGCAAATAAAATCCCACAAAAGCCACCAGTCCTAAGTACGAATTTAAGAAAAAATCTTCTATTCTATTAGATGAGGTGTTTTTAAATCCCCCTCAAAACAATTAGATCATTTACGAGGGGGGCATCCAACCCTACCTGTCAGGGCCAACCTGGGCTGAGAAGGATACAACTAATTACTAATTACAAAATACAAGCAGAAAGACTGAGAAATGAAAGTTCGTAAGGTTTAGTTTAAAACCAAAATATATGAGTTTCAGACAAAATCTCAAAATGAAGTTTGCTTGTCTGTTATGTCAGGAATTCTGTGTCATGACTAAGAAGGCTAAGGTGCAGTAATCTCCAGCTAATTGCACACAACAAGAGTTTATCTGCATGATCCGTCTCAAATCATCTTGGCAGCACAGAAACAAAATTTTCCTGTATGATCACTCGTAAGCGCACATTCCAAATCGATACACCTCTATCTAATAATAGCCCCAATCATTCCTGTGCTAGTTAAAAACAGAAGAGAGCAGCTAGGGCCTATAAAATGACTCACCGCACGGAACTGATGGAAGCAAAGCATTTACTAGGTACCAACATGCCCTCCTTTAAAAGTTTATTACTTGAAATTGGAGGTGAGGGCGGGGGGTTCACTTGACTACTAGAATTAGAATGTGAATAGCCTACACTATAAGAAAGAGTGGTCACTTAGTCCAAAGACTTTTTTTAGAAGAGAACTCTTTGAGCGAGTTACTACATCCTTATTAAAGTACTTGAAGTGGATATTCGGCTATTCTCACCCAGGGTGAGAATAAAATAAGATTGACCTCTCACATCGGGTGAGACTTGCCAGCGTTGGCTATTCTCACCAGGTGTGAAACAAGACCTATTTTTCCTAATTTCTGAATACTGTTTAAACTGTGTTGATGATCAAATTGACAAAAACAAAGGGAAAAAAATGATGTTATGGCACAAAATTTAAGTAAACTAAATTGTTTATCTACAAAGATGCTATGGCTATTTCACTTTTCGATCCAGTAGGAGTGTAGATTCTAGATATAGACCTGCATGTGAGCCTCAACCAGATTGTCTGAAAATTTTGCGCACCCCC